GGAGCAGCCACTGCACTCCAGTCTGGGCAACAGAGTGAGACTCCAACTCAAAAAGAAAAATAAAATAAATAAATAAATAAATAAAATTTTTAAAAAAAAATCCTAAAATTAGTTGCCCCAGGCTGTGTGACCTCATTAGGGATAGCAGGAATGGCCCTACGATTCTTACCTCTACTTGGCTCGGTCTGAGGAAGTGGAGATGTGGAGACGGGTGTGAATTTGTGAAGGGTACTCATGTCACCTTTTTAAGTCATTCAGACTTAGGAGCTTTCTTCCTCCGGGTCCTTTCCTTTCTTAAGTGAAGAAGTTGAGACCATAAAATCAGAATATTTAGAGGCAGATGTTATATCAGTCATTGTATCACTAAACTTAATTTTTTTGTTTTGTTTTGGGGTTTCTTTGTTTGTTTTTTTGTGGTTTTTTTTGAGTTGGAGTCTCACTCTGTCGCCTCAGCCTTCCAAGTAGCCGGAACTACAGGCGTACGCTACCACACCCAGCTAATTTGTTTTGATTCATGGTAGAGATGAGGTCTCACTGCCCAGGTGGGTCTCGAACCCGCGGGCTCAGGCAATCCACTCACCTCAGCCTCCCAAAGGCGCGGGATTACAGGCTGAGCCACCGAGCCCGGCTTCTAAACTTAATTATTGATGCCCTTAATTTTGCCAGTGTATAAATTGAGCAGTACCCAAGACTAGATATATTCTAAATATATTCTAGACTAAGGATTAAGTTCTAAGTTAGCTGTTTCGAGTTATTTATTTGCTTGTTATTGATTAGAACAGATAACCATTATTTTATTTGTTATCTGAAGGCAAATGACCTCTCGCCCCTGGAATGCATTGGTGGCAACTGTACCTTAATTATTATTCCAGCTGGTATTCTGCTTGCTACAGGGCCTGACAAAATCTGTCCCTAGGTATAACTAAAGTGTCCTCATACTGTGCTTTTTATGATGTGTATGCATTTTAGAGAAGAACATGTTGATATATGTCATCTTGAAAGTAGTTCCAATTTTGAGAACTCAGTCTGCAAAAGAAATACTTTTAGTTAAGCCTTTGAAATGGAACTTTTTATTACATGAAAATAATTTAAATACTTCTGTATGTGCCAAGCATATGTATTGCATTGTTGAATCTACATACTAAAGAAAAAGTGATAATGTTCTTCTCTTTCAGATGCTTTGTTTGCAGGCAAAGCAAGCAACAACTGGAGGAAGAGCAGAAAAAAGCCCTGTATGGTTTAGATAACGCTGGTAATTTTTATGAAACAGACTCAATATGGGAATCGAGTTGTGTTAGAGCTTCCATTTTGTAATCCTTCAGCTCATTGCTTCTTCTCACTGTGCATTTCCCCTTTTGCTTTTTCCTGTGTGGCATGCTGCATCGGCTTCTCCTTAGCTCCAGGCAGCAATAGATCCCTCCCATTTGCCATTTACTACACGGGGAGCAGCAGGTTTTGTGAAAAGGCCTGTTGCCTCTCCCTCTGAATGGCTGTTGTGATGCCCAGCCCGGGCTCTTGTCCCACGTGCTCTAGAATGCAGGGTCAGCAAACATTCTGTGGAGGACTTGATAGTGACACCTCAGGCTCTGCCAGCCATGTGGTCTCTCATGCGCCTCAACTCTGCGCTCTGATGAAAGCAGCTTGGACAATATGCTGCGAATGGGCATGGCTGTCTGTCTGTCAATAAAGCTTTATTTATGGACACTAAAATGTGAATTTCATATAATTTTCACATGTTACAAAATATCATTATTCTTTTGATTTTTTTCAACTATTTATAAGCCTGGCCAGTGGCTCATGCGTGTAATCTCAGCACTTTTGGGAGGCCAAGGTAGGAGATTGCTTGAGGCCAGGAATTCAAAACCAGCCTGGGCAACAAAATGAGACCCTGTCTCTACAAAAGAAATAGAAAAATTAGCTTAGTGTGGTGGTATGTGCCTGTAGTTCCAGCTACTTGGGATATTGAAGTAGGAGGATCGCTTGAGGCCAGGAGTTTGAGGCTATAGTAAGCTATGATTGTGCCACTGCACTCCAGCCTGGGTGACAGAGTGAAATCCTGTCTCAAAAAATAAATAAAAATGTGAAAACCATTCTAAGCTCACAGACAGGTGGTGGACTAGATTTGGCCCACAACTGTGGCTTGCTGACCCTTGTTCTAAGCCGTCCAAAAGTCACCATGTGATGAAAGTAAAAACAGCCCTGCCTTTCAGGAAGTGACCCTTGGGTCCCTACAACTTTCTGAGGCGAGTGGACCACTCCATGGTGGCTGTTTTTGGTGTTGGTGCTAAAGAGTGGATTGCACAAAGCATTTGTGCCAAATATCTGGCCAAATGAGGGTCAAGCTCATTCACCTGGAGGGAGTGTAGATGGCCTCACCCATCTTATTGCAGGAACCAGCCCCTGTGTCATCTGAAAGTTAACATCTCAATGGTTCTTTCTGCTTCAGAGGAAGTGGAAGAGTGGCAAGTTGTCTGCGGGAAGTTTCTGGCCATCAACGCCACAAACATGTCCTGTGCTTGTCGCCGGAGCCCCAGGGGCCTCTCCCCAGCTGCCCACCTGGGAGACGGGTCTTTTGACCTCATCCTCATCCGGAAATGCTCCAGGTTCAATTTCCTGAGATTTCTCCTCAGGCACACCAATCAGTGGGACCAGGTAAGTGGAATGCTTTTTACATGTGATCTGAGTGGGCAAGGAATTTTGTACATTTCGTCAATGTCTGACTTACATATTGTAGATGTCCATTATCTAATTCAAAGGAAGAAAGGACAGATTTTTCAGTTTGTATTTCACCAATTTTAAACTCATAGTTACAGCTATTCCTTGTAAAATTGCATTTAAAAATATAAATCTTTCAGTATAGAAGAAGCTGAGACCTGATTTTTTTTTTTTAAGTCTTAGTCTCACTCTGTCACCCAGGCTGCAGTGCAGTAGCACCCTCACGGCCATCACAGCCTCAACCTGCTGGGCTCAGGCGATCCTTCCACCTCCGCCTTCTAAGTAGCTGGAACTACAGGCATGCACCACCACACTCGGCTCATTTTTCTTGGTTTATTGTAGAGATGAGGTCTCACCAAGTTGCCCAGGCTGGTCTCGAACCCGTGGGCTCAGGCAATGCTCTCACCCCGGCCTCCCAAAGTGCTGGGATTATAGGTGTCGTCTGCCGTGCCTGGCCAACCTGAATGTTTATATACAACTTCCTGTCTGTTGTTTCTCTTCCTATTTAAAAACAGAACAAAATGATAAGGTCAAGATTACATTGCCCTCGTGGGGTCACTTAACATAAAATCTGTAGGCTTCTAAAAATGGGTTCAGTTCAAACCCTTCCACCAAACCTTTCTGTAACTCATCAAGGGAAAGACTAGAGTCTAGTCATATCAGGAGAACTGGGACTTTTGGTCACAGTTGCAACTTGTAGTAATATTTGTTTTTACTTAAATTGAATTTCATATCCACTCCAATGCTAATTGTAATAAATTGTTATTTATTACATTGGCTTTTTATTTTACTTTTAATGTGTTTTAGAGATGGGGTTTTGCTCTGTCACCCAGGCTGGAGTGCAGTGGCATGATCTTAGCTCACTGCAGCCTTGAACTCCTGGGCTCAAGCAATCCCCCCGCCCTGGCCTCCCAAAGTGCTGGGATTATACCCAATTTATATGACTTTTTAAATAGTGCTTGTCGTGGCTCAGCTTATAATCTCAGCACTTTGGGAGGCCGAGGCGAGTGGATTGCCTGAGCTCGCAGGTTCGAGACCAGCCCGGGCACCTTGGCAAGACCTTGACTCTACAATCCATCAAAAAATTAGCCAGGCGTGGTAGCGCATGTCTGTAGTTCTGGCTACTTGGAAAGTTGAGGTGGAAGGATCTCCAGAGCCCAGCAGGTTGACACTGGGGTGGCCATGAGCATGCCACTGCACTCCAGCTGGGTGACAGAGTGAGACTCCCAACTCATAGATTGATAGATAGATAGATAGAGAGAGAGATAGATAGTGCTTGTCAAAAAGAGAATAGAAAATTCTACAAATCACTGCCAACTACCAGAATTCTTTAAGAATTCTTTAATTCATCCTTGTAGATAAGCTGTGATTTCCAAAAGTATTAAGAATCGTTTAGACAGTCACTCGGGAAGGCAGGTGCTACTTTTCCCTTCATCTCTAAGATGTCAGATCAACTGGGAAGGGGAACTTGGGGGCCCTGCCTGAGTGGCTGCGTCCCATAGGAAGACACTGGAGAGCTGGCTGTTATTCCCAGAGTACCTGCTGCCCCAACCATGATGACGCAAGAGCCTAGTTTCCCTTTCTCTCTCTCGGTAGTTTGACTTCACCTTTGTTGAAGTTTATCGTGTCAAGAGATTCCAGTTTACATCCAAGCATGTGGAGGACGAGGATGGCGACCTCAAGGAGCGAGGGAAGAAGCGCTTTGGACAGATCTGCAGCGACCACCCCCCATGCTGCTGCACAGTCTCCAACAGCTCCTGGAACTGCGACGGGGAGGTCCTGCACAGCCCCACCATCGATGTCAGGTGTGTGCAGGGGGCCTCGGCCACAGCACCAGTCTCTCAATCCCCCATGTGTCCATCACAAGCACGCCCCACCAAAGCATGTCTCTGGTTATGGATGCCACCGGTGCTCCCCGGGGCTTTATGACATAAGACATGAATTTGTTATAAATACACTTTACTTTCCATATATCAGATAGCAGGTGAGATGCTATTATCTGAATTCTGAAAAGATGCTAGGGTGTTGAGTCCGTGTACATTTTGTTTCATAGGTAATTTTCACTGATATTTGAAGCCCTTCCATTCTGTTCTTTTTCTCTTCTACTCCCTGCACTTCAGGCTGGCATTGGGCTCTTTGCCCTGGCATTCTGTCTTCTCCTAAATAATTCAAAAGACAAATGAAACCACCTTCATGGGCATTTTCGAAGTCCTTGGTTCACTAAGTTCATCAGGAGACAGTCAGCCTCAAGGGGCCATGTTCAACCACCAAGCAGAGGTGCTCCTTGCAGAGAGGGGACAGAAGGCAAAGGAGGATGGGAAGAGTACCCCAAGGTTGGTGGGACGAGGGGAGGAAGAGCCACAGAGGGGCAGCTCAGTGTGTGGAGGTATGGAGGCCACAAAGTCTGTGGGACCTGGGAAGTCTGGTGTGGCTAGGCGAGGATGCACACAAGAGAGGTTGGCACCTTAAGGCTGATCCAATGGGCCAACAAACCCTTGAGGGCCTCGCCTGCGCAGCCACCCTCGTGTCCGAAGCAGTTCAGAATTGCTTTTGCCAAGCTCTCCGGGTTGACGTTGAGAATCAGAGCTTGTGTTGCCCCTGAGGACACACTGACGGATGCCCTGAGTACCCAGTGCCGAGGCTCATGGTTCCTTGGGGGGCAGGTGCCATGTCCATTCCTCCAAGGGCCAGGTGGAATGTGAGAAGTAGTGTTCTCCCCACACCTACTATGACCCGCTATATTTGGTATTGGAAATCTATAATTTAATTAAATATTATTACATAACCAGATGGAATATGTGTAGAGAGAAAATTCTTTCCCTGTGGAAAGACACAGCAAAAAACAAGCTGATTTTTTAAAAAGGCTATTGAATTAGATATGGGTGTACAAACTATTTGAGACTGGGGGAAAGCTGTAAAATTTTAAAAGGATTTGTGCTGTTTATAAATGCCTCTAAGATCTTAGTCTATTTTAAGAAAACCACACTGGACACTCGTTACCAGAGTATGGATGATGTGAGATAGGGCAGCTGGTGGGCCGGCCACACTACCTCTGCATGGAAAAATGGGTAATAGATATGCCTTTGATGCTTTAAGTTACAGCATTTAAAAGAATGCACACATCACTGTTGACAGCGCCCCACTTGAAATGACTCTTCAACCAACCAGCTGCTGGTCCAGTTGGACCTTTAAGAAGATATTTCCCTTTAGCATCTGAGCAGGGCTAAGGGAAAGGGTAGTCTCTTCCATCTCCCTTGCCCAAATCCACATGGTCTCTTTTCTTCCATGTGGCAGTGATGGGCAAGAGACCGTCAGAAGGTCCCAGGAAAACCCACCAAGCCAGTCTTCCATATGTGCAGGGATTTGGCTTTGGCTTCTCTTGACTCATGTTATAAGTTCGGGAAATGAAATTATTTTTAATACTGGTTTATGTATTTATTAAAGAAATAGAATACTTTCAAGATTAGGGAAAGCATTCTTGAAAAAATCCTGTATATCTTGATAAATATGACTATGCCTTGAACAGCATGTCCCTTAATGATGGGGTTTGATTACTAAAATACATCTGAGGAGGTTGTTATATCATTAACAAATGGAGCTGTCCCATGAGGGAAGATGGCACTGACACAGGAGCCCACTCTGACCGCTGAGTCCCTGGGCTGGGCACCCCCGGGGACTTCAGACCTGCTCCTCAAATCCCCAGGCTCTTGCTAGTGTCAGGCCATTTGTGTTTCTTGACTGAACATTTCTCACACATCTCTTACATGCGTGGAATGCCCTGCACTGACCCCTCCCAGGGTCCTGTAGGCTCAGTACTGATGAGGAAACTGAGGCAGATGGAGTGGATGCTTACTGGATTTGTCGTTCTGCCACCAAGTGAGGTGTTGGCATTAGAATCAGGGCTACTGACACCTGGGATTTTCCACTTGGCCACGGGCATCCCTTTACAAAATCCGAGTCTCTGAAATGTAAGTAAATTACCCTGCACCCATGACTTATAATTGCACGTTGGCCCTAGGCAGTCCATGATGATACCTGACTGTCCCGTGGTGAGCAGCCCCTCCGCCCTTGTCCAGGTGTAGCACTTGAGACCAGCTGTCTCAAGTGAGGGAACACACGTGGAATGTAAATGTGGCCGTTTGTCTCTGCAGGGTCCACTGCCAACTGGTTCGACTCTTTGCACGAGGAATTGAAGAGAATCCCAAGCAAGAATCACACAGCTGAGAAGCCATCGCGTCGCCCACCTTCCTGCACCCAGGAAGAGTGAAAATTATTTAAGGAAATTACCACAGACCAATTATGTTGATATATACATTTAAATTTAGAAATTTATTTTTGATAGTTAAATCTTGATTTTAGAAAAAATACCTTTTGTCAACGATTTCGTGTACATTTTTGGCATTTTAAGTTCTATGTGCCTCTGTGGGTTGCATTTCACATAACTTATTCTCAGCAAATGGTACCTGTTGATTTGAGGGCATTGGCTTCTTAGATTTTAACAATGTCAACAGTGTAGTTTTTTAAATGGCCCATTAGTGGCTCTATTGCAATAATTTTAGGGACATTATAATATGAGTGCTTTCCATGGAGGTCACACCATCTGGGCATGAGGTAATCAGTGGGTCACTCTGATCCACTTTGTAAGACTTATTCTGTAATTGTTTGTGGCCAAGTTTTGGAAAGTAGCTGATGCTCTTTGCCTTCATTTTGCCTTCATCTTAGTTTATGATTAGGACATTGTGATTTGATCCTTACTGTACCGTGCAACTACAATGCAACGTAGTCCTGCTTTAAGTGGTACTCTAAGAGTTAGGCCATTCCAGCGCATTTGGGGGCGGGGGCGGGTGCAGAAAGGAACAGAACTTAATCTTGGAGTTCTCCACTCTTGCTTCATCTCAGTCACGTTTCTAAGACAATCTCTCTGGGAGCAAGAATGCAGAGTCTGTTCTGGAAACCCAGATCGTGAGATCTGGAAGTGGGCAGTTGTCAAGCACTGACAAGCTTTTTTACTGTTAAGATGTAAAATACTGATGCTTTATATTGACACAGAGTACACAAGCAGCTGGGCAATGTGGGGAAACAGGAAGCAGCAGCCGTCGATGGGGAGGGGTCCTCCCCCACTCCAGCAGAACTACCTTGGTGCAGACCCTGAAGTCCACACACATGGTCCAGATGTGTTCTGTTCTTGTCTTCATGCTGAGCTCTAGATATTTATTGAACACTTTGTCCCTTTAAATCAGAATGGTGTAAGTGGTGTCTCCACTATTTGTCTTTTGTCTTAAACCATGATGGGTCGCTGGTCTCCTTCTAAGCATGGAGGCTTCAGTGACCAGAGGATTCTTCCCTGAAGGCATTCCTGCTCCAGTCCCTGGGGAACCCCTCAATTGTGTGCTATGTCCCTGTTGTGTTTGTATTCATACTTGTGTATATGATGAAATATATGTAACTGCGTCTTATTTTAAATACAAGAATATGCAGCTTAAACTTGGACCTAGAAGGAGAGGGGACTTGACTGTTACGAGAGCACAACTGCAGATGCTGTCCTGTCACACGGCTTCTCTAGCCACTTAGCATTTAACAGGCAGCACATGTTTTTAGAACTCCCTTGCGTCAATTTATATTTTAAAGTATACAGGAAACTTCCCATTCCAGCATTCAGCCTCACCCAAGTCAGACACAAGGGCAGCTTCAGCGGTGGTTTTTTGTGGACCGTGTTTCAAAGGTAATTGTGCAAGCTGAATGAATGGCTTAATAATTAATGATTGAATGAAAAATCTGGGGATAAAGAGTAAACATGCTCTGGCTGTTTCTCTTAATGTTTGCTCCTGGTTGGGAAGAAACCAAAGATGTAAGACTAGCAGCTTCTTGAGAGGGGCCTGCCTGCCTGCCTGAGCCCAGCAGCTGGTATAGCATGCAATGCCCTGCAGCACCATGAGTCCCTCCAGGAGAGAGGGCTCAGAAGGCGGCTGGCTGCCCATAGCTCTCTGGAATCGTGTTGCTCACAGGGTTTCCCCGGAAGATTCTTCCGTCTTTACTGTCCCTGGTAGATGTTTCCCATACACTGATCTGTCCTAAAAGCCGCTACCAATTTTAGCAAAATGGTCCAGGCCAAAGAGGAAACATTTCAGGTTCAACAAGAAACCCAGCCATTCCACGTGGCTGGTTCCTGAGTGGCTTTGGTGATATTTACCAACCACCTGCTGACATTCAAATTTGTGAACCTCAGGACAGTTGTCTGAATACCCTGCAAGTGTCTGACACTCCCCGAAAGCCCAGTGATATATACGCACAGGATGGGAAGTCACCGCTCAGACATTCCCGTGTAATAGGCTCTGATTTCCACGAAGCCTTTTAGAGGCAGCAACTACAACACCTGTACTTTGGAGTTTAAGAGGAAAACAAACAAACCAGAAGTGATGGCTAGATAGTGAAAACTTAGGATCCTTTAGAAGGGTTAGTCTATGTTTTAGTTTCCTTTGTGGCTCGTTGGTGCAAAACAATTAGACAGCAGTTACACACTGGAACCTATTCTAGTTTATTCTAATTAAGGAGTGAAAACATTGGCAGTGCCTGCCCTGGTGTGGGCTTGACTTGTTCCTGAATAAAATCTTGTATAATGGGATGCTATGGGAAAGGGTGGCTTCATTTTCTTCCTAATCTTGCTGGTTTCAAGATTAGAAAATGGCATTATTTGCTCTGATATGTTTGAAAAGACAAAAATAAAGTTTCTTGGGCAGATTTGACTTTTTTTCCTTTCTTTTACAAATTCCTATTATTTTCAAAGTGGAATATTTTTCATGAAAACGCACATGCAATTTAAGCAAGAATAAAATGAACAGAGGTATAACTACCACCTATGCCAGGAGACTGAGAGTCACCCCAGAGCTTCCTGTGCCCCCTCTGGATCTCCCCTGCCTCCTCTCCTAGGGTACTACTGTTTTAAAAGGTGGGCGTGTCCCTTCCTGGAATCCCTCCCTATGATCCCTAACAACATGTTGCTTAGTTTTGCAGGTTTTGTTCTTTAAAGGAAACCTACTCTGTGTTGTTTTCTGTCACTTGTTTATTTTACTCATGTTCCGAGAAGACATTTGCGTCATGAAACTGCATGAAATGAGTTTTCCAGTCTGTGAACATGACGTTCTTTCCATTTCTATAGATACTCATTAATGTATTTCAATAATTTTATTATTTTTTCATGTAAGTCCTTAAATTGTGTTTAGATTCTTAAAAACTTCGTATCTTGAGGCTATTAAAATCTTTTTTTGTTTTGCATAGAAATGCAATCGTTTTGTGTGGCTGTATCCAGAAGCCTTGCCTCCTGTCAACCTAAAATGACATCAGAGATCTGAGGTCTTCTAAGAAAGTTTATTTGGGAACAGCAAGGGGGTGGCAGTTGTGAAATAGGTCCTCTGATGGATCACAGGCATGTGGGCGTGGAGGATTGGGCATAGAGGACACTTTGAAAGTCAGAGAGAGAAGTCCACATAAGCTGCTCTGAAACCAAGTTCATGGGTCACCAAAGCTCATCGCGGGAGGTGGCATTGCTAGGTGAGTATCCTCGTGCAGGTAGCTAACTGGAATACGGCACTCCTGAGGAAGTTCTTGAGATAAATACCATTTCAGGCATGTGGATGTGAAGGCTTCTTTGTGGCCTCCATTTTGTTACAGTTTGACATAAGTGATTTCATTTTGAACTGGCAATTCACACTCCTATTATGATAATTGACCTGTAAATGTGTGGGGGGGGCTATGATCATCGGATCATCTACAAATAATAGCTGAGTACCTTCTTTACAGTCTTATACATTCCAGCTGTTTCCCCTTTCTATGCCTGCTACAACGTCTAGTACAAAATTGATCAGAAACGACGGTGAGGGGCTCTAGCCTCGCTCCTGTCTGAGGGAGGGGATCAGTTTTCCATTAGTGCCACTTAGCTCCGGCCCCCTACCCCTGGTTACTCCTTGGTGATCTGGGGACGTCTCTCCCTTCCCACTGACTTGACTCCCAGGGGGTTCTGGAGGACGGAGGGGCTGGACTTCGTAGTTCCAGGGCGTTTTGGGAACAGTTCAGATTTCAGCGGCTGGTGGCAGCAAACAGCCCCTCCTATGACAGCTTTCCCAGCTCACACCCACACAGGACAGGGTCTGGGTTCTCTCTGTCTAAGACTACTCTAGTCTTAGTCACCCTGGCCCTTGGGAGCCAACCCCATGCTCCAATCCTCGATACAGCTCAAAATCCTGTAGAGTCCGCTCTGTCTACCAGAGTTGTGTGAGGTAAACAGAATGAATCACAGCCCTGGGCCCCTAGTGTCGCCTCACTCAGCTCATTCATTAAATCTTTCACTAAATACTGTATTTTAAAGAAATATACAGTAAGTACCTATAAGAGAAACCCTGAGCCAAGAACTAAATATTAGTAATTTCATTCCCCTTTGAGGTCATCCCTGTCCCCCTCTGGCCATGACTTCCCCGCCCTGAGTGACCCCTCTCCTGATTGGCAGCCAGAGTGACAGCTTCTGCCGGAAACCCTGCAGTGGCCCTGTCTCCTCCAGAATAAAAGCCCCAGTCCTACGGGGCACCAAGGCCCTCTGCAGGGACTAGTGGCCTTTTCCCTGTTCCGTGGACCCTCTGGTGGCCAGGGACAGCCGAGAGATGCTCTGGAGCAATGTTATGCATACATTAAAATATACAAGATTGCAGAAGAAACCAACTACACTGAAATTTATTAAAATGGCTCTTAAAATAGTGCTAGAGATAGACATAGGCTCTCTTATTGACATTAAGTAATGAAATATATGCAGAGCAGGCAGATAGTCAAGTTTTGGATGTAGAAGCTGTGAGCTGAGGATGGGTAGTCTCTCACAAGCCCAACTGTGGGGTATGAGTACCTGGAAGGCCCTGGGCGGGCCCTCCACCTGCTCCACAGCCTGGTTCCCGTGGCACCTGCCATGAGCCTGCGCCACCCACAACCTGGGCCCTCCTCTGCCTTCCAAAGCCAGGTGAGGACAGCACACTGAGGAAGGGTCTGTGTGGACTGTAGACAGAAGGTCAAGAAGGACGTGCCTCGGGCCAGCAGACCATGGGGTCAGGAGCGAGTGGGGGAAGGACCTGCTGCAAAGATGTTGAGGGGGGGGAGGCAGGGGGACATCACAGCGTGAGTGTGTCCTCAGGAGGGAGATGAGTGCATCTGCCAAATTCCCAGGAGCCTTTGTCCTGTCATTGCTGTGTTCCAGCACCCAGGACAGAGCCTACTATGCCTGGATGGATGGATGGAGAAATGGAAGAGTATATGGGTGGGTGAGCGGATGGATGGGTGAATGAATGGGTGAGCGGATGTATCCCTGAGGGTGGAGTGGCCCGCTGCACCTTGTTTCCACCTGGCTCCAGCTCCCTCCGTATCTCCCTCCCGCCTCCTTGTTGGCTTCTGTGGACTCAGGGCACAGGTGGTTAGGCCCTCCTATGTGCAACCTGGCACAGGTCTGCACTCAACTCCAGTGGCTTCAGAAGCCAGGCAGATCCTGGCTTCCTTCTATGTCCAATGTCAGGTGTCTGGACAGGCTGTGCCCCAAGTATCGTGGGGACCCCTCTGCCCAGGGCCCCCAAGCAGGCAGGACACTCCAAAGCAGGCTGGGGCCAGGATCTGCACTTCTCCCCAAGGTGTTGCTCAGTCGCCAGACTCTCCCACCCCCACCCCGGGCCACCTCGGGCACCCCTCCCTGCAGGCCACACCCCTTGCCATCTGGCCTCCTATCTTCTGGAATCCAGGCCTTATCTCCTGTTCCAGCCTCTGATGCCCATGGCCTGACAGGATGTCCCTTCTTGGCCTCCACCTCACCCTGCACCCCTCGTCAAGGCCACCTCGGTTTGCCTGAACTCCCTGCCACCAGTGACCACAGGGCCCCAGGAGTGACAGGCAGCCCAGCCGGCTCCAGCCACCCAAAGTGCACGGGCCCTGCCAAGAAGGTGATAGCCCTGAGCCTTAGCACAAAGCATTTTAGGTTTATTTAAATAAAAATTATAATTTATACAAGACTTTTTCTTTAAACAAACAAAGTTTTCTTAAAAAAATGTTACAGGGGTTTTTTTTTTCATCAGTTCTTCATACAGTACAATCTTTTTGTTGAACAAAAGTCACACGGGTAACGATTATCTACAGATTCAAAATAGACTCAGGCTTCAGACATAAAAAATTTAACATTCATTCTAGTTCAGTGATTAGTTGTAGAAATTAAATACCTGCCCAGATTTACACAATTCAGTAAAAACTACAGCTTCTCTCCGACGGGGAGCCAGGACCCCGTGCAAGTCGTTGCTCTGCTCCCGTGGGCTTCCAGAGGGACCTGCTGCTGGCCCATGTGCAACTCGGGCAGCCCCTGATGCCCAACATGCCTCAGCCCTCTGCAGGCAGGAGCCCCCGGCCACATCCAGCACATGGTCAGTTTTCATCTCCCTTTCTCCTTAAAAGGGACTCGAACTAAACCACCCTACTTTATAGAGAAGCCCCATTCTGCCACAGGGACCTCTCCCCACTGTGCTTGGGGACAGAATCCCGGTGCCTAAAAAGCGGCACTCACTGACCCCGAGGCCCCAGAACCCACCCTCAGGCACTGCCAGGCCCCAGGAGAGAGATCTGCCCATCACCTGTGGGAATCACCCCAGCTGCCTTGCCTGGGGTCAGGTCAGGGCCCTCCCTGCCTGGGCACTGAGAAGGGGCTTGTTGGGGTGTGTCCCCTCTCCCCAGGTGCACCAGAGAGAGCAGGTCCACTGCAGGGGCCACTGCTGTGGCTTCGAGTGGGTTGTGCCTTTGTTCACGAAAGGCTGACAGCGCAGCCATCTGAAAGCTGATGTCTGTGTAGCCAGGAGTCGAGGGGGCTTCACCGCCTGGGGTGGGAACTGTGCTTAATCTGGTAGTCAGCACGGCACCCCCAAAGCACCCCCGGCACCAGCATGTGACCCTGCAGCCCTCCATGACGGGAGTGACACGAGCCCATGCCACCAGATCTCTCACCCAAACCAGCAAATGAGGATCGGAGCAAAGGTAAAAATTACATCTGAAAAATGATACAAAAATAAGAAAAACAGCTTGCTCTCTGTAAAAAATATAATCTTCTGTTTCTTCAAAAAACAACAACCTCCACACCCAAAGGACTCAGGACAAGCTGATGGGACTGGAGCAATCTGCCCCAGAAAACGTGCAGACCCGAAGGTGGTCGCGCCCTTCGAGGAGGCCACAGGCCTGTCTTAGACCCCCAGGCCACCTTTCTCCTTGTTTCAACCCAGTGCGGGTGTCCCAGAATAAACCAGGCCTGTGAGATGCTCTCTCTGGCTTCTTCAAGAGCCACCTTGTTCCCAGGAAGCTTGGGCCTCCCTGGGGAGTGGTAGGAGCTGGGAGAGGTCTGTGCCCAGACTGGCACTTGCTGGGCACACAGAGGGCAGAGAATATTATCTGACATCAGGGTGAGGCTGGTGTGGCCCCGAAGCCTCTACTTTGCTCATAGTCACTCCCTAAAGCAGAGGGACCTCCCAAGCTCCTTGAGAGCCTGCATAGGAAGAGCACCCTGGGTCTGGGATGTTCCTGCCCACCTTCTTCCCCCACCCACCCAGGCAGCTGCAGTCTGGATGCCAAGAGCCAGCCAGGCTATGGTGGATTTTCACTGAAAACAACTAAAGCCCAGAGCACCTCCCAGAGCCTTCACAGACATTCTCCTGGGGCTTTCTAAAGAGCAAAGTGTTAAAAAGATGTGCTTTTACCTACATGCCATTCTGCACCCTTACTGGTCACCAACTACAGACCTCCTGGCTAGTGTGTCAGGCCCAGGGTGGGTGGGTCCACACAGGCGGCAGACTCAGGTCTCCCCGAGACTGGTAAAAGAAGGGTGCCACCAAACACACTCAGCCCCGAGGGACGAGTAAAAGGATGAGAGCCCTTCCCACTGCTCCAGGGAAGGTGGAACACAGGGCTTGAGTCCCGACACTCCAAGGGCAGACCCCGCAGGAGGGCCTCATGGAAGAAGGAGGAAGACCAACGGGCCCATTTCCTGGTGGTTGGTGACGGACCCTCGTGTCACTCCTCACTGACACCTTACTGTCCCCAGGTGGAGGGAACTACAAACGCTCCTCAGCTATGGCTTTGGTGGTGGAAAAGCTTCTGGCCTCTGGAGAGCAGCAACAGGGTGTCACGAGAGCCTCCTGGGTAGCCGGTGCTTCTCTATCCAGCCTGGGATGGAGAGCCGTGGGGGCTGGGGCACTGAGGGCCCCGCACGTCCTCCTCGTCAGGCCCCTGAGGATCCTCTCCCTCCTGCGTCCACAGGTGTCCACCAGAGGTGCCTGACGCACCAGGCAGGGAGGGGCGGCCTCTCTGTCCTCAGGAGCCCCACCCCTTTGTGGTGTGTAAAACGCAGGGGTCAACACAATAGAAACCACAGGTCGAGGAGGATTATTGCAAAAGATCATGAGGATGTCCAAATTTTTCCACTACCAAATTGTTAAAAAAAAAAAAAAAATTCCAGCAATGTCCTGGGAAAGTCAATACTAGCTATCACCACCGGATGCTGCTGCTGATGTGATTTTCATGTACTGGCTGAAAATGGTCTCGAAGGCCTCATCTCTGTGCACCATGGCACCAAACACGAGCGGCTGGCGGGAAGGAAATGCCATTAGTGAGAGTGGCCAGGTTGGCACCAGGACCAAGACACCCCTCATCCCTCACAGGCCAGGTTGGCACACGGCCTCATTGGGTCTATAGAGCAGAGAAGCTCCCTTATCCCAGAAGACAAGATCCAGCCTGCAGAGAAACTGAGGCAAGAGTCAGGGGACCTGGGCTCTAGGCTCACTCCCTCCCTCTTCCCCAAGTCACTGAGTTGGACTTGTCCCCTCTGGGCCCCACTCCCTGTGTCTTGTGACTCTATGGCCCCCACCCAGGGCTAAGAATTCCCACCCAAACTGGATGTAGCAGCAGGATCCTGCTGCCCAGAGGGAGGGAGGGGCTTCTCAAGCCCTACTACCCAAGCTGAAACCCTGCCAGTCTATGGCTCTGAGCTTGTCCCAGAGATGCTCAGAGCCAAGCCCCCAGGTGCACCTTGACTCCTGAGTGGCTACCTGCCCGGCACTTACTTTCTGGGTTGATGGTGTTGACACGGCAATCCCCATGCCTGAGCCCGGGAGGACAGACAAGACCTTGTACTGAAAGACAACCACAGAGCTGTCACCACAGGCCTGTCCCGGGGACAGAACCTCCGGGGACCTGTGAGTGTAGACTTTTCACAGAGATTCTGACATCCTCTACAGCCCTCCACTGGCCTAGGGCATTTTCCTCTGCCAAACACACAAATGGCAAGACCCACAGGGCCTGGGAATTCCCAGCAGAGGATAAGGACCCCTAAGCACCTCCTCACTTTGTGACTGGGAAACCAGACCTATAATCGGTCTGTCCCACCCTGTCCCTGGGGGCAGGTCCTTAAGAACACTGCATGTGGGAACCAGGCTCCTGAACTCACTGCCAGGAGTTAGCACCAGAGAAGCATCTGCCAACCCCAAGAGGCAGACTAGGAGGTGTGGCCCTGACCTTGCATCTTCTGGTCACCAACACCCTTTTTCCAGAGGAGGAATGGCCCACAACAGCCATGGGGCTGAGCACGGGGAGGCTGAGTGCTGGCGCCACCCATGACCACACCTGCCTGTGCCCAGGATGTTCAGAGCCAGGTAGAAGCAGGGGGCCCAACCACTCTGAGCTGAGTATCCCTGTCAGCCCCTCACTAAGCTTCCTCTGTCCCAGAGAAAAAGGCCCTGGGGGTATCGCACACACCTGTGCCCACATCTACCTGCATATTCCACGTGATGACGCACGAAGGAAAGTGGCCTAGGAGATACCTGGAATAGACACAACTGCCTGTGCTCACATCTTTTTTTTTTTTTTTTTGAGTTGGAGTCTCACTCTGTCGCCCAGACTG